TCTTCAGCTACAATTTTATCACTGTAGACACTTTAGATGAAAGGGATTTGAATACCCTGAAAGCCACATACACATTTATTTTTTGTATCTACCAATTGTGGGTGTGAAATTCCATTTGAAATACTCTTGCAGTTTTGTTCTCAGTTTATCAGGGCAATCACTGAGGTTCCTAGTTGAGCAATTGGAAAGCAGCTAGGTTTAAAATCTCTACTTCAACTCTCTTAAAAAGGCAAATGAACATAAGTTTTGTTTAACACTTCCTTTTTATTTCTCTGTCTTCTCTCCTCTAAAAAAAGAAAGAAAGAATAGAAATTGCAACCAGCAGTTTATTGAGAGAGAGATGGTGGGAACAGTATGCTTGGAACCTTGCATATTTTGACAAATTCAAATTTTGAGGCTTTTGTTCTTAATTGTCAAGTTGTGGCCAGTCCTATTCCCCATAGCAGATCAGTGTTTTGGGTTTATGGTACTCTGTTCATAATGATGTAGGATAACCAGATTTAGCATGAAAGTGTCTTGTTCCAGGGAAACAGGACAGTTGGTTATTCTAGGTAAAATTTGTTAGCAATTGAGGGAAGAAACTATTTAGGAATGAGAATGCAGATATAGTAGAAAGTGCTTTGGAGTGCTACATGCTTGGGTTTGAATCCTGGCTCTCCTGCCTACTGTCTTTGTCATCTTAGGTAGATCATTTTACCTCTGATAATGTGGAGAGTTCTGTGAAAGCAGTGTTTTCTCAGAGCCGGGCATTTAACTTTGCTCTTCCACTTTTCAGCCCTTTTCTATAGTTACACAGTAGTTGAGAGAGTAAGGACTGTGTGTCAGAACTGAGCCCGGTGCTAGAGATGCAAACCAAAGACTTCTTCTGGCTTCTGTCCTCCCTGAGCACATCGCCTAGGTCATGTGTTAACTGTAGCCCCAATGGAGGCTTTGCAGTAGCAAACCTCCAGGACTCCGTAGTCTACCCTTGCTGCTTTCCTGCTTTGAGAGCAGCCTCTGTTTTTAGGGACTAGCGGACAGTTATCTGCAGAACAGTCTTCCGGGCTAAGGGAAGACTTTTTTTGATCCATCGGAATTTGAAAGCTGCTAGTCCTACTCACAGGAAGTCTCATTTCCCCCATTTGGCGTTCCAGCTCTGTACGTTAGCAGTCTAACTGTGAGCCAGTGCTTTCACTTCCTTGGGCTTTAGTTTATTTGTGAAATAGGGATAGTGATGATTCCTGACTCTTAAATTGTTAGGAGGATTAAATGAGATCTTTCCTAGAGCACTTAGCACAGTGTGTGCCGCATAATAAGCAAAAATGGGAGGAATAAGATGATTCCATTCTCCTTTTGTCTTTATGTTGAAGGCCAGCTCCTTCCCACCCTTTGCTTGGACTGTTGACTATCTCATTGTGTTCATTTCTGTGACCACACCCAGCCCCTCCCTGGTAACTAGTAGGTGCTTAATAGTATTGGTTTATGATCTGATGATGAAGATGATCAGGATTAATAAGGGTAAAATAAGAACATGTATGTGTGTGAAAGCATACTTTTGTAAATGGAAAAGCATCACATGTTGTATGCCTCTCCACTTAAGGCATTTATCACAGTGCACTGTTCACTGTTCACATCTTTCCTGATCACTAGTCCGTGCACTTCTCCCAGCCAGAGACTGCATCTTGTATGATGTCCTGTAAAAGGAGGCTCTCAGGCAGCTTACTTGAATGCAGATGGATACAAGGGTATGTTGTGAAGCTGTTATTAGGGGAGGGGAAGAGGGCTGATTCCTTCCTGGTGCTACCGTTGTGCAAGAAGACATTCAAAAACCTCTCCTAGGGGAATAGTGACATTGGATGAGGGAAAAGGGGAGAGGCAGGAATCGTTTTATGAGTGCAGCTGGATCTAGAAACTGGCAGGTTGGCCCATCTTCAGAAATCCTTGTGAAGATGCTGTCAACCTGTAGTGTTAGGATCACTTTTCTGATCATTTTCTGCTAAAAACTATGAAGGAAGTCATTGGCCTGCCCTGGGTGCACTGGTTGCAGATCCATGCAAACTTGCTGTGGCCTGGGGCTCCTGTTCTGTGACTGGGATGTTGGGGCCAGTATTTCGAGGTTCTGGGCTTGCTGGCAGTATGGGAAGGTAAGAAGCCAGAGTCTTCTGTCAGAAGCTCCTCTTTTGCATCCTCAGTGACTCAAATGCATGTGCCAGTGTGCAGACACATTGTTACAGCAGCTCCTGATACTGCTGAGTGAGGAAGGACCCCTGCAAATTCAGGGTTAGGCATTGGCCCTGGGAAGTCCCTCTTAGTGGCCTTGGGGAGAAGGCCTGATTGATGGGCCAGCAGCATTCGAGGGGCATGCTCATGATAGGCCCATTCTGATGTCTTAGGCCTTGGGTCCCTGCCTTGAGACATTTTAGAGGTCTGCCCTTTCTTTCCATGGAGCTGAGGTTGGCCTATTCTTACTTTCAGAGAGGGCAGCACTGAGTTGGTTCCATTTCCCCCAGCAGCGGGAAAGTTAAAGTTTGAATACTGAGCTACAGTGGAGACACTCAAAGGCCAAGTTGTCAGAGTCTGTTGGGGCTGCTGACTCAGTGCTGGTTAGAGTGGGAGCCGAAGTGCATACTATTTTATAATAAATACTAATGAAATTCTAGATCTGTAAGAACATTTCAGATATCTAAAACAAACCATGTGCTTGTAAAAAAGTGGAAAGAGATCAACTTTAAGCCATAAATTCTTGGTAATAGAGGGTGTTTTTTTCTATTTATGTTTGATAGATATTTTTGTTTCCAGAGGAATGTCAACTCCTAATTTCATAATGTATCATGGGCTTAAGAAAATTGAATTTAATAAAAGGCAAAGATGAATGGCATTCTTAAAGGTCCCAACACTTGTCTTTATTAGCAGGACAAACTGCAGGTCTCCAAACACTGCTTCTCTCCAAATGAAAGTTTAAATGAAAAGTACAGTTGTGTCACAGGTTAAATTTCATTGTGGGCCCAGCTAACATTGTTAGTGAGGAGCTGGCTGTATTTGTCTCCTTAGACACCAGGGCAGCCAAACTCGCCAGGCTGTGGAGCTCTTCATGCTGGGGAAGCCTTTCGTCCACTTGGTGGGGGAAGGATCTTTCAGGAATTCAGGGGTCAGATGAGTTTGACTCTGAACCACAACTTAGAGTTGGCTCTCAGATATCTTGGATATCTGATTTTTCAGGTGGACCAGATGTGTTCAGTTTTATTTTTCAGGGCAAACTACTTGGCTTTGTACTGCTTTGTTGGGGGGGTGGGGGGAAGGCCCAGGGAATTGGAGAATAATTGCCTACATCTCTTTGCTTCTAGAGGACAGGTATCACCTGGTCTGTGCAGCAGCCTGGGCCTCCATCCTCATCAGCCTTGTAGCCATTCGCTCTTCCTCTATCTGGCAGTGAGCTGCTGTCAGCATGCCCGTGTTTGGGAGTCAGTCCAAGGAGCCCAGGCAACTAGAACCTTTGAATTTCTCTGGCATGACATCTGACTGCCTCAGTAAGGTTTTCAGTGCTAGTGTTATGTGCTGAATTGAACAAGATGCTTTAAAAACAAGCCCAATGGTGGTGTGTTTTGGAGGGAGGATGCCTGGCTTTTCTGGGACCTCCAGGAGATTGACTGTTTTTCCTGTTTCCCATCCCATCATTTCTTAGGCGCAGTCAGGTATCATTAGCTGTGGTGTTGCTTCTCCAGCTGTCTCTGGAGAGAACCAGTTTGCCTTGGCTGCAGTGGTACTGAAAAGGTCCTCTCCAGAACAGGGGTGTGGGGGAGGGTTGCCACTAGAGCTGACTACTGGGGCCACTTAGTGGGCAAAGCCCTTCCTCTTCTCTGCAGTGGTGGAGGCCTTTTGTACATGCTAATTCTACTTGGAGGCTTTTGCTTTTATTTATTTTTTTATTATTTCCTATTTGTCTCTTCCAGATGTTTTCAGGGCAGTTTTTTTGTGTTGTAAACTAATTCCATTCATGTTTTAAAAATTTATGAAAGCGCTAATAAAAATGTCAAAGTGGTAAAAATGTTAGCTTTTCCTCTGCTTTGATTAAATTTTGCAAACTGTTTTTGAATATTAAAAAGCAATAATTTTTTTTCTTCTCTCTCCTTGTTTTCCCTTTTCTCTCTGGTGCGCGTGTGCTCTCTCCTGCCCTCTCCCCCCTCTGGTGCGCTCCTCCCTTCCCAGGAGCGATGTATGAGGCTTGCTGCACAGCCAGCGTTCTGCAAGCGTGTTTGCACACCAGGACCTTGGTGCTGTGCATCTCTATTAAATAACGGAGACAAATTCATCTTAGAGACACCAAACAAATTGTCACCCCTCCTCCTCCTCTTCCATTACGTTCCAGTGGACTGGGAAGGGCTGGCTAAGCGATTGGGCGGGGAGGGAGGGAGCCAAGGAAAGTGTGTACTGTGTGAAAGGTGGGAGGCACTTGCTCCTGTTTCTCTTACTCTCTTCTCCTTCTCTTTGGCATTCTCTTTGGCTTTATTATCTTCATATATATATATATACACACACACACATATATATATACATACATACTTATATGTATATAAAAAACTAATGAAGAAACTCACTGTGTTTAAACTTCATGCAAGGAAATCAGTGCATGGGTCTGATGGCTTGTTGTCCATGTGACTGAACATGCAGACTTATTACAAAACAGTGACCTGGGCAAGGGGAAGCAGAGCCTATTTTTAGGGACTCAAGTGAGCAGGCCTTTGCTAAAAAACTGGTTGGGGAAACCAGGAAGGATGATACCAGTGTCCTTTCCCTTTCCAGACGGAGCAGGGATGGCAGCTATGCCCAGTACCTGAGACTTGGGAGGGTATTTACAGGGAGAGGGTTAGGATTCTAACTACTGGCATCATCTCACTCGGTGTTGGGTTTGGCCTGGCAGGAGCTAAGGACCCAAAACACTCATCCTTTCTTGATTGGCAGTTATGATTTGAAATGTGTTGTTTAAAGTAATTTATGCTTTTTCTATGTCTATGACATTCCAGGAAATCATTGAATTCCCTATCCTGAAGCTGAATGGCCGGACCATGGAGATTGAGTCTACCTTTCACATGTATGTCCAGCCCGTAGTCCATCCACAGCTTACCCCCTTCTGTACAGAGGTAAGAACCCTGCAGGAGGGCAGCAACGGCTCTGGGAGAGGAGCTTTGGGGTCTCTGGTTCTCTATACAAGCCATTTAGGTAGAGCTTAGGTCTTCCTAGCTGTTAAGGCAAGTGCACATTGGACCCAGCAGTTGGCTTTTTGTGAAGTCTGCCACTCTTCTCAGGCCACTGTAGTCATTATGGACCCAGGGAGTATAGTGGTACAGTGTGTCCTAACCTCCCCAACAGTTCCCCTTCCTTATAAATCCCACCTGCCTGGTGTCTGGGCACTTGGAATCCAATGGCAGGATGGTGCTGCTGGGGCTCAAGTTCTTTCCAGTTTTGATTTCCTAAGGGCCCTTTGCAAGAGGGGCACGTTTCAATCACTGGGAAGGAAATGTTATGTTCAGGCTGTCTTAGCTTTCTGTCACCATTATGCTGATCCTCTATAAAGTGACTCTATGGGAAGCTCATTCTGATTTGTGGAAAGCACATTGTATCATTGAAAAGTGGCAGTCTGTGTGGAGCTTGAGGACAGGCTGGCCAAGACTGGTTTGTCTTTATTCTTGGCTGGTATGGTCCTCAGCCATTTTGAGTGCAGGTTCGTCGTGACCTCGTTTTATAGATTGAGAAACTGGGACTAACTGAAATTTTGATGTTTGCTGGTGGCTTAAAAGAGCCAGTGGCAGAGGAGAGGAGCCCCCAGCACAATGTGGAGAAGCTTACTGTAGCTGCTTTCTCCATGCTGTGTCGTGTTGTACATGGTGGTGACCACTGAGCCCTGGTGGAATCGCAGGTCAAGAATGTGGGGAGGTGGGTGCTGGCGCTGTGGCATAGTGGGTAAAACCACCGCCTGCAGTGCCAGCATACCATATGGGTGTTGGTTCAAGTCCTAGCTGCTCCTTTTCCAATCCAGCTCTGCTATGACCTGGGAAAGCAGTAGAAGATGGCCCTAGTCCTTGGGTCCCTGCACCCACGTGGGAGACCTGGAAGAAGCTCCAGGCTCCTGGCTTTGGATCAGCCCAGCTCCGGTCGTTGTGGCCATTTGGGGAGTGAACCAGTGGATGGAAGACCTCTCTCTCCATCTCTGTCTCTGCCTCTGTAACTCTGCTTTTTAAATAAATAAATAAATCTTAAAAAAAAAAAAAAAAAAAAAAAAAGAATGTGTGGGGGCCAGCACTGTGGCTAAGCAGGTTAAGCCACAGGCCTAGGCTTAACTCACTGCACTGGCATCCTATATGGGCACTGATTCGAGTCCAGGCTGCTCCACTTTCAGTCTTGCTCCCTGCTAATGGGTCTGGAAAAGCAGCAGAAGATGGCCTAAGTGCTTGGACCCCTGTACCCACGTGGGAGACCCAGAAGAAGCTCCTGGCTCCTGGCTTCTGCCTGGCCCAGCCCCAGTGGTTGAGGCTATTTCAGGAGTGAACCAGCAGATGGGGGAATCTATTTCTCTTTCCTTAGCTTGCTCTGTAGCTCTGCTTTCAAGTAAATGAATAAATCTTTAAAAAAAAAAAAAAATAGACTGTGTGGTAAGGCTGGCACTGAGGTGTAACAGGTTTAAGCTGCCACTTGCAGTGCCAGCATCCCATATTTGCACTGGTTTGAGTCTCAGCTGCTCCACTTCTGATCCAGCTCCCTGCTAATTCTCCTGGGAAAGCAGTGGAAGATGGCCCAAGAACTTGGGACCCTGCACCCTTGTGGGAGACCTGGAAGAAGCTGCTGGTTACTGACTTCAGCTTGGTCCAGCCCCAGCCATTGCAGCTATTTGGGGAGTTTACCAGTGGATGGAATACCTTTCTCTCTCTCTCTCCCCACCTTTCTCTGTAACTCTTCCTTTCAAATAAATCTTAAAAAAAAGAAAATAGTAGCAGAGGTGATAAAACGTGAGTGTTTCTAAATCTTTTTAAAAAAGAGTGGGCTAAGGTATATTAGAGGCTTTTTACCCTCACTTAGAGATTTACCTCCTATATGTGAATGAAATAGGGGGGAAAAGTTCTTTAGTAGTCCCCAAATAGTCCCCTCTGAGGAGACTGGGGAAGGGCCTGCCTGACGCTGCTGGGAGGTCCCGGGGCCTCTGAGGTTGCTTAGCCTACCTGCAAAGTCTCGAGGGTTGCTCCTGGACTTGCTGCAGTGTTTGCCACCTCAGCCAGCAGGACTTTGTTGCAGGCACTCACCTGCCAAGGTGCCTAGTCTCTTTAGCATTTTGTTGTTCCAACTAAAAATACTGAGGTTCTTGGTTCCTCCTTTGTCTGCTGGCCCTCCCCCTCCACCCTCCTTTCCCTTGGGCATTACCTACCTGTACCACCAGTGGGCACTGGTCTGTCCTTTCTGCTCCTTTTGAAAAATCGCCTTCCCTTACCCTAGGCAGTTACCTGAGCCCTCCACTAACCTGAAGGTCTAATGTCTTCATGTCCTTCTCTTCCTCCTCTCTGTGTGTGGCCTGCCCCTTCGGGGCCCCAGCTTTGTGAAGCACGGCTGCCTGGCCTTGCCAAGCAGACTCAGATTCTGGAAAGGTGGCTGCTGTTTAGGAATGGGCGGAGTGGCGCTGGAGCTTGACCCTGGCTGGTAGTGAATGCTCGACAGTTTTGGGAAAAGAGGGATTTTTCTTCAGAATGGCGGCGGCTGCTGCTTTTTTAGAAGAGAGAGGATGATGAATGATGAGTCTGTGATGAAAGGACGTGTCTTTTTTCTAGAAAGCTTCTCCAGGGACATACACAGGTCATTTGGCAGGAGGAAGTTTGGGATCCTGGCTATGAAACCTGGTCTGAAAGTGAAGATATGGTTATGCTGCAGGCACTGGGTCTGCCGTTTTACCTCAGGCTTCTAGAGCTCAAAACTCTCCATGTCCTGGTCTCTGATTTTTTCTCTAGTCTCATATCTGCTTGTTTCATCTCCCTCCTAGATCCTCTCACCCAAGGGTATCCTCTGCCTGTCTCTTTTTGCACATGATGGTCCCTATGCCTGTGCTCTGCTCCCACTCTCCTGCCCCTAACTCCCCTTTGTCCTCCAGCCTTCCCTGTGCCCCAGTCTACATTGTTCTTACCCCAAATTACATTGACCAGATAATATTCTGTACTTATGTATCTGTGTCCCCACTAGACCTTGAGTTCCTTGAGGGCAAAAACCAGATCTGATCCATCTCCGCCCCATGATTAGGATCTGGTACCCAATACACTTGATACAGACTCCTTCAATGAATGCATATTGTCAGGAAGTATTTCCCATCTCCCCTAAAATCAGCTGTACTGCTAACTTGTTCTTTTGAGTAAGTAAAGTCTTCTTTGGAAAACCTCAGATTATCTAAATATTGCCAGGTGTCCATATTAGCTGGAATTGTGTCTCAGAAAAAAGACGGACACAGGATGGGGCTCTTGTTCCAAGACCTCATCCAGCCTGACAGCGGCTGCCTTTGGGGATAGGGCGGAGGTCGTTCCTAAGCCAGAGAATCTGTGGTTAGTAAGTATTAGGAACAGCCCAACCCTGTAGACCGTAGCTGAGCAGCTCTTCTGGCATGATTTTCTCTCAGATGGACAAGTTCCTAAGAACCCTAGCCCGTGTGTGTGTGTGTGCACATATGTTCATATGACATGTGAATACATGAGCACATGTATATGTGGGAAGAGAGGCTCACTGCTAGGAGAAAGGATTCTGCCTTGAGTGAGTCTTTAACTCACATGCAGAGACACTCACTGCTATGTGTGAAGAACATGTTATTAGCCTTCTGTGGTCCTTCCTTAGTTCTTGACAGTCTGCGTGGGGACGTGGTTCTAACAGAGAAGATGAGGTGTGTTTCCTTCCTTCCCAGGCCCTTTCTGTTTGACCTCTAGAATCTGCTCCATCTCTTCAGATCTCTAGTCCCTGACTCTGTGCAGTCTTGTTGTTGTTGTCATGAAAAAAGAAAAGAAAAAAAATGCCCATTTTGCTAAATGCCAGTAAAGGGCTTTGTCTTGCACCTGTACTTATAGAGGGTGAGATTTATTGGTCTCTTTGTCTGAGGAGAAAGAGTGGGTCTGATTATCAGATTGCACACCAGAGACAAGTGCTTATGTAATCAACAAACTGTCTTGGTGTCAGAATACGATTGTGTTGGAGATAAACTGTGAAAGGAGAAAGCGCTGGTTGCTGACATGCTATTGGCACTGAGTTTCCTGGGCTGCTTCCTGCAGTTTCTAGTATTTATGATGAAGCCGGCTCATTCCTGGACAAAGCCCTTGGGTGGGAAGGGGATCTCAGTAACCAGCCATGTTATCAGTCAGGGTCAAAAGCCCCTCGTCTGTGGTTTCCGAGTCTGGAGAAGTGGGAGTTAATCTGTAATCCCTTGGTGAAAAGAGCCACAGAGCACACATTAATTCTTCCTCTCACCTCTCCCGCTTTAAGTGGTTAAGGTCTCTGAGCTCTGTTTAGCCTGTGAGCCCTGGTTCTCAGCTTAATAATACTTGGCTTTGCTCTAGTACCTTTCATTGTGAAGATATGAAAAGCTTTTTTACAAACATATATTAACCCAAGTGGGAATAGGTATAAACTTCAGTATGGAGGGTTTAAGTTAGGCCTAAGGTAGAACCTCCCAGAATTAATTTTATAAAATTGTTGCAGCCTCTCATCTAAGTCTTATGAATATCTTACAAGTTGTTGCTCTCAGATACAGAGACTAACTTTCTTCATCTCACCTCCTCTTTATTGCGTGACTTGGCAGATCTGGTAAGAGATGTTCCATCCTTGAAGGGATTGATACAGGCGCAAGAGGACTTCCCCTAGAAGGCTGCCTTTAGTAGAACCAGTAGCTCAAGCCCCTGTGTTTCTGGGGGTTGAGTTCAAATCATTTAGGAACTCAGCTGTGAGCCCTGCCTTGCTGGGCCACAAATGGAAAATGCCCATTTTCTGGGAAGCCTGGAGACGGAAGGAGATGACCTCACTGGGCTCCTCTCAGACCCATGAATCTAGGCCTTCTAAGCACCAGAATGGAGTTTGTGAGAGCTGCAGATGCTAGGGCCCACTTGCAGTCTCAGGGTGGGAAGAGGTGAGCCTGGTCTACAGCGAGGGGTTGTAAGTTTTCCTTTTTGGTCCTCCAGTTTTTCCTTTTCTCGGTGATCTACCTTGGGCCCAGGGCAGGTGCTTATGGAGTACATAGGTGCAGACCTCTGCCCTGTCTGTAAGGAGGGAACATTCAAGTGTGCCATTGGTTCCCTGGGTAAAGAAGACTGTCTTGAAGCCTGTTGCTGTTCAGTTCATCTGAATTACCATTGGTGGGAGCCAGGGGACGGAGTGGACCTAACTTTTTCCCAGGAAACTGTGACCAGTCCTGAGACATTTGCATTCTGGTTCTTTCCAAGGAGAGTGGCTTTGGGCCCTCTTTTCAAGGGTGGTCCTGACCCTAAGCCCCAGCTCCAGGCTTGAGGGTATGTCTCAGCCCTGGAAGGACTTGGCGGGAGAGAAGCTGGGCCAGGATGGGCAGTGGTGGGTGCCTGGGTTTCAGTCAGTAACCTGAGTGGTAGACCTGGAATTGGGAATGAGCCTATTCCTGACCTTTGGCCCCTGCATGCCCGAGGCAAAGCAAAGGGCAGCTGCCTGCTCCGTTTGTGGCTCTGGAAGGCAGACAGGCTCCTGATACCAGCTGGGCTGAGGGGGCTGCCAAGAAGAGCACACATTCCACAAGGGCAGGGTCTCTATGGTTTTCTTTGCTGCTGGATCTCTAGTTACTAGAGTAGAGACTAGCACATAGTAGGTGCTCAGAGAATAGTTGCTGACTCAGTAGAAGGAAGAGTGCTTTGTACTCTAACATGAAAGCTGCTGACCCAGCCTCATCTCCCCACCCCTCAGCAGACCAGTCTTCTCCTTGACTCAGGCCCTCCCTCTGCTGGGCCGTTCTTTGGTCTCCCAAGCAAGGAAAGGGTGTGGAGTGCCAGCCGGGCGGGCATGCTGTGGGTTAAAGCCTTGCGAAACAACAGTGTAGTTAATCTTTCTAATTTATTTTCCTTTTAGACCATGGGAAGTCTGTAGGCAGCAGCTGTTACCCAATTAAAATACAGATTAATATAAAAACAGTTTCTGGAATATAAAATAGAGTGGCTGTGTCCTTACACTTCCTTAAAATACCACCTAATAATGACTTGATGAACTACAGAAACCCACCTAGAGGAACTCAGCGTTCTTAAAATGAAAATTTCTTCCCTAAAAGGTGTGTATTACCATTCCATGTAAGTCATGATGAGAAAATAACCTTCCCTCTTAGAGCCAGCGGTGTCTGTGAGTTGGGTATTTGGTATTCATTAAATGTAATTATAGTTTAATTGGAGTTTTAATCCCCACCCCCCGCCCCCAGCCACTTTAAAAAATGAAAAAGAAGTTTCCAAGCAAACCTGAGCTACTACTCTTCTGGAAGTAGCCAGGGGTGTGTTAGGTATGGTTATTTCCAGTTGGTGTCCAGGATGTGGGGACCCCCATGCCTTGGATCCTTATAGGCAGTCTATCCCTAATACATGCCTAAGGGATGTTTTTACTTAAAACAAAGCAAACATCACAAGCTTATTTGGACACAGGCTTGACCTAGGTAGAGCATAGGTGTGTGAATCAGAAATTCTCTAGGCCTGTTTCTGTGAGGTTGGCCTTTTTGTCTTAGTTTCCTTTTTGATAGAGGTGACTCTTTCCTGCATGGTTGGTTGGTATTGGGAACGCAGGTATATGCTTTGCTGATACTGTGGACGGTTAGAGGAAATGCTAGGCATTGGGGCTCAGAGGAGGGGTGGACTTGAAAACTAAGTGGACTCCCCAAGTTTTATATGAACTTCTGTGAAGCTTGGCATTAGATTTATTTGGCACTGCAACTTGTAGGAAGTTAAGGAGCCTATTGATTACAAATGACATGTAAAACAAAAGTTTTTGCGAGATGAAAGCTGAAACAGGTATGAGATACACCATGTGGTCAGTGTGTGCATGTATGTGTGCCCCCCTTTCAGGGTGGGATTTTGTGGGGGAAACTCAAATGGTGTTCTGGGTCTGTATTCCCAAGATTCTTGGATTCTGAGCCAAAAACAGTGCCAGGTCAGAGCTGCTATTCACAGCAGAAGGAAAATAAGAGAAAGGAAATGTTCCAGGAGAACTTTGAGGCCCTATACCCTGGTTTTCTACCCATCAGCTATTTCTCTTTCCTTTCAGCTCACCGGGATTATTCAAGCCATGGTGGATGGCCAGCCAAGCCTACAGCAAGTACTGGAGGTAGGTTGAGTGACCTTTAATTCCTGACCTGTGACCCTTCCTGCTGCCTTCCTCTCCCTCCCCTCCTGAGGATGTAGCCGTGTAATTTGACTATGATTATGGCTTGATTAGAATAACATTTGCTGTCACATCAGTGACATGCTGTTGAGAGTATTGAACCATTGATCTGTCATCTCCAGCTGTTCCCGTCAGGGTTACTGACAAGATGTCCGAGCGCTGCCAGGAGTCGGAGCTCAGGGGCCCCACCCCTTCCTGACCATGGCCCTGTGCTGACTGGCTGTGGGCAGCCTGCACTTGGTGGTGTGGGGAGTAGAGGAACTGAGCTGTGGCATGGCGGGACTAGCCCTGGGGACTAGCCCTGGGGACTGGAGGTGTTTTTGTTTAGCTTTAGTGTTGGCTTCCTGTGGCATGTGAGCACTTCATTAACTCACCCAGAACTCCCCATCGATGTCTTTTGTTTGCTGTCAGCTCCTCCAGGAGCTGCGGCTGGGCCCGCCTGCCCCACTGCAGCTTGCCGCTGGATGCATTGTGCCTGTCAGGGGGGCAGAGGCTGCACTGGGTAATGATTCCTAATCAGAATAATTACAACAATTGCCTATGTGAGGGAAATCAAATTAAAGACTTTAGAACCCTTGGCAGAGACCATACTTCTCGGATGTTCTCCTCAGGGAGCCGGGAAAGGTTAAGACGCTGCTGCTTGTGCTCTAGCCCAAGGGAATAAGGAAGGGCACGCTTGGCCTCAGCTTGTGTTCTCCCCCTCTGGCCTGGAGCTGTTCAGGGGGAGAAATCCCCCTCCTGCATCCTTCTCTGTAGGGGGAGGGGAGAAGTGAAAGGGCCTGTGGATCTCATTAGGTGCTTTCCATGTTTTTAGGACCAATAAGCCCAAAGCTCAGCCCAGTTATCTAGGGAAATAACGGGGTGTGTACCGTGACTGCACTGGGAGTCTTCAGTCTGGAGGAAGTGGGTAGTGGTCCAGGAGAGGGGCAAGTGAAGGCTTTCTTCAGCTAAGAGATCCTGCCCCGTGGGGTAGAGAGATGCAGGATGAGTTTCCTGGGGCCCCTCAGGATGGAGCCAGGGTGAGAGAAGCAGGGTTAGGCTGACTTCGGTTGCTGAGTGTACTCCCACAGAGCCAAAGCTCTGTGACCAATCAGGTGCTGGTTAGGCTGGGGGTAGGGTGCCCATGGTAGAGTCAATGAAGATAAGATGGGCTCTGAGGGGCTTCGCAGCCTTATTGCCCCTCTTTGTTTGCTTGTTTGAGAGAAAGATCTTCCAATCCCCAGTTCACTCCCCAAATGCCCGCAATGGCTGGGGCTGGGCCAAGGCCCAGTCAGGAGGCTGGAACTCAATCCACATTTCCCACCTGGATGGCAGGAACCCACTCACGTGAGCCGTTACTGCTGGCTCTCAGGGTCTGCATTAGCAGGAAGGTGCAGCTGAGAGCTAGAGCTGGGACTGGACCTCAGGCACTACAGTGTTTAACCAGGCGTCTTAATCAGTAGGCCAGATGCCTACTCCTAGCCCCTCTTTTTGAGGGGAGCTTCTCAGTGTAGACTGTTCCCTGTAAGACAGACTCAAGGAGGAAGAAAGCACTCGTCTTTCCCTGTATCAGCATAGCTAACATCCCTAGCTAGGGCCTGGCTCCCAAGGGAAGCCAGAGGACAGGGTTTTCTCCTGAACTTCTGTTCCTGAGATGCTGGAAGAGAATGCTTATCTGGGCCAGCACAAATCAGGGCTGGTGAGTTTCTGGATTTTTTGGCAGTGGCCCCAGTTGAGGGGGGATGTGTTCTTCAGGAAGCAGCCTCTTGCTAACCCCAGGCCAGCCCTGCAGTAGAGTGCTCAGGGGAGTCTAAGTCTCACCCAAGAAGTTAATTCCTGCTACTTCTGCATATTCTGTGGGTGAGGGGGTAAGATTCCTGGCCTAAATAGGGAGTTTCTGGCAGGGCACCAGACAGGGCTCTGCTTTGTCCTATTAACCCTGAGATGGTTCTAGAGCTAAAGAGCTATTTATTTGTCTGAACCAAGGCCTTGAGCAGGCAACCAGCTAGATGTTTGCCTGACTGGTTTGAAGTGAATCTCAGGCTGAGGACCTTCAGTACCTGGAAAAGTTGGTTGTCTTGGTGTTTCCTCCCACTTTTTTTTTATTTAATTTTTTTTGAAAGGCAGAGTTAGAGAGAGACAGGTTTTCCTTCCGTTGGTTCACCCCCCAAATGGCTGCTACGGCCGGCGCGCAGCGCCGATCTGAAGCCAGGAGCCAGGTGCTTTCTCCTGGTCTCCCATGCAGATGCAGGACCCAAGCACTTGGGCCATCCTCCACTGCCTTCCCAGGCCACAGCAGAGAGCTGGACTGGAAGAGGAGCAACCAAGACAGAGTCCAGCGCCCTGACAGGGACTAGAACCCGGGGTGCTGGCAACGCAGGTGGAGGATTAGCCTAGTGAGCCGTGGCACCAGCCGTTCCTCCACTTTTTAAAAACTAAAAAAAAAATCATTTAAAAAATTTTAAATTTATTTTTCATTTGATTTGAAAGGGACCAAGAGAGATGAAGAGAGCTCTTCTACTGTCTCACTCCCCAAATGCCTGTTGCAAAGCTGGGCCATGCTGAAGCCAGGAACCCTGACCTCTTTCCAGGTCTCCTACATGGGAGGCAGGGACCCAGTATTTGAGCCATCACCTGCTGCCTCCTGGGGTGTGCATTGGCAGGAAGCTGGGTCAGAAGTGAAGTAGTTTGGACTCAAACTGGGTCATCTGATACAGAATGTGGGCATCCCAAGCAGGATCTTAACCTCCATGCCTCTCTCCAAGCAGAGAAAGGAGGGAAACGGATAGGCTCGATTCATTTCCCTGGATAAACTTGTGGTGAAAGGCGCTCATTAACTGGATGGCCTGGATCCTAGTCTTCCAAAGACCTCACTGAGTGCTAAGTGTTTCTCATGGTGAAGGCATGGTCTTGCTGGACCTGGCATCCTGACTGTCTGGCTTTCATTTCCCACTGTGAGAGGTTGGGGCAAAGGGGAGCCCCTCTAGTGTGTGTGTGTGTGTGTGTGTGTGTGTGTCTGTCTGTCTGTCTGTCTGCATGTGCATGCAAGGAATTGGATCACAATGACTGGGGAGATGAACTGTTCAGCAATGGAAGGTTGAGAATTTAGCTGCTGGGGAGATTGTCTGGTGTACAGGCTGTGGAGAGGGTTTAGAAACACATAGTCTTCGTAGCTTGGCACTAGGGAACAGCTCTGGCATTCTGGACATTGGATTGCTGTAGCCATGGAACCAGATAGGATCGTTGGCCTTACTCAAGGCCTGCTTCAGCCTGGACCAGATTCCCAGAGTCTCAGAGGAGTCCAGGAAGCCAGCCAACACCTGCTAGAAGTAATCTTAGTTAAAGGTGTCTAGTTTGCCCTAGTCCAGCCTCATTTCCTGTCTCTTCTCTCTGTATGCTGTGGACTTTGGTTGCACTAAACTTTTACCTACTGTTGTTTTCAGTCAGTCAGCAGATACCTGTTGAGTAGACACTGTGTTGAATTATGGATTAAGGCAGTGAATAAAGCCGAGTCCCTGACTTTAGGGTTCTTACAGTCTGATAGGGAGGAAAAGACATGAAACAGATGATTGCTCCTCAAACACAGAATGGTTGTGCCTGACCCTCTAGTTTTGCCAGTAGTGTCCTTTCCTGTGTTCCACCATAATAAGCAAACCCAACCTTAAGCCCCTAGTTCAATTGTAATCTATATGAAACCTTTCCTGATTCTTTTTCTTTTTTTATTTTTTTTATTTTTGACAGGCAGAGTGGACAGTGAGAGAGAGAGACAGAGAGAAAGGTTTTCCTTTGCCATTGGTTCACCCTCCAATGGCCGCCGCGGCTGGCGCGCTGCGGCCAGTGCACCGCGCTGATCCGATGGCAGGAGCCAGGAGCCAGGTGCTTTTCCTGGTCTCCCATGGGGTGCAGGGCCCAAGCACCTGGGCCATCCTCCACTGCACTCCCGGGCCACAGCAGAGGGCTGGCCTGGAAGAGGGGCAACCGGGACAGAATCCGGCGCCCTGACCGGGACTAGAACCCGGTGTGCCGGCGCCGCTAGGCGGAGGATTAGCCTAGTGAGCCGCAGCGCCAGCCCTTTCCTGATTCTTTTCCCTGTGGGACTTAGAGCTAGTCACTTCCTCCTCTTGGTCCCGTAGCACTCTCGTCACTTCTCCATTACCACGTCGGCTTCTCCTTAGCTCAGCCTACTGTCAGCTTTATGGTAGACACTTAATACGTGATCACATTGAATTCTCAGAACAACTTTGTGAAGTTACTCATCCTACCGCCCCCCCCTTTTTTTTAAAAGATTTTTTATTTATTTATTTGAAAGTCAGAGTTATACAGAGAGAGAAGGAGAGGCAGAGAGAGAGAGAGAGGTCTTCCATCCGATGGTTCACTCCCCAGTTGGCTGCAACGGCCAGAGCTGTGCTGATCCGAAGCCAGGAGCCAGGAGTTTCTTCCAGGTCTCCCACACTGGTGCAGGGGCCCAAGGACTTGGGCCATCTTCTACTGCTTTCCCAGGCCATAGTAGAGAGCTGGACTGGAAGTGGAGCAACCGGGACTCGAACTGGCACCCATATGGGATGCTGGCACTGTAGGCGGCGGCTTTACCCACTACATCACAGCGCCGGCCCCCATCCTGCCCCTTTTTAAAGATAAAAGGAAACTGAGGTTTTGAGGGGAGATGACTTCTCAATGACTTTCCATTGATGATACAGCAGGGATAGTGAGAGCCAGAGGCTAGAACTCAGAGGTGTTTTGGCTTTCAGTCCTGCATTTTTAGCTACTGTGAAACAGCCATAAAAACATCAGTCTCCTGTGCAGACTGAAGATCTGCACTCCCTGTCCACGCCTGGAATCTTCTGAAAAGTGGGCAACTATTTCTTGTTACACAATTCTCTTGTTATTCAGTGAATTTAGTATTTGTGCTTCTAATGTAAATGCTGAAAGGAAAGAAAGACTTCAGGTGTGTTTGGGAGCAGTGTCTTTCCCTGTGTGGAAACTGAGCTTAGCCTTCAAATTATTGCACTGAATTTGAATCCTCAACTAGGGAGGTAAACATTTTCTTTACCTTCATTTGGTGAATAACCAAATTCATAAATTTGGCACCGAGCTGGCACTGTGGCTTAGTGGGTTAATGCCCTGACCTGAAGTGCCAGCATCCCATATGGGCGCTGGTTCGACTCCTGGCTCCTCCACTTCTGATCCAACTCTCTGCAATAGGCTGGGGAAGCAGTGGAAGATGATCCAAGTCTTTGCACCCCTGCACCCGCATGGGAGACCTGGAAGAAGCTCCTGGCTCCTGACTTCCGGTCGGCGCATCTCCAGCAGTTGCGGCCAATTGGGGAGTGAACCAATGGATGAAAGACCTCTATCTCTGCCACTCCTTTTCTCTCTCTGTTACTCTGCCTTTCAAATAAATAAATCTTTTTTTAAAAAAACAAAAAACACATAAATTTGGCTCATACCACATTTGGTGACAGAGAAGGAGAGGGAGAGGGAGGAAGGAAGGAAGCAAGCTGTGGTTCAAGGCCTCCCTCTCTTCTGCCTGTTCTCACTTCTTTGCTGAGGGCCGGTGAGAGGAACAACCAGGTCAGAGCACCGTGTTTGGGCTGAACTGCTGGGATCTGGGAAAGGCTGCCAGACAATGGGGCAGCAGAGGGGCTCCCTCCCCAGATTAACCTGGGTTTGTGGGATCTTCCAAAGGGCTCTACCTCCAGCTGCCTCCCTAGTCCTGAGCTTAGGTTGAGAGCCTGGAGCAGAGCCACGGCTGAGGAAGATTACACTTTTCTCCTGCTCTGATTACAAGTAGCTTATCTGTGTTTCACTGTTGTGGCTCTTCACAGGCTCAGGGAACAACAACAACAAAAAAATCTCATCTGTTCTTGTGTACTTTGCAGAGGGTCGATGAGTGGATGGCGAAGGAAGGCCTCTTAGATCCAAACGTCAAGTCAATTTTTGTCACCTGTGGAGACTGGGACTTAAAAGTCATGTGAGTATGAGAAGGGTTACTTTGCTGGCTTAGAATCTGTGGGACTAGGTCTTGCCTTTCCAAGGTTAAATGTTCAAGGCTACAGGCCAGGTAGGTCAGAGATTCCCCGGTCGTTGGGTCTTCTAGGACTAGCAGAGGGCTGGCAGCCCTGCCTTCTGCCTCTCTGGAGAAGGGTTGGACAGGTTGGGGGGCCTGGCTGGACTGCTATTGTGGCCTTCTTGCCTTTGCCTGTTTTCACCACTCACAACAGCCTTCTAATTGCTGACCTATATGTTATTGCCCTGGAAGGAAGGATTTCTATAAAACAAGGTCCTGAAACATTTTTTTCTTAAACTGTATCCATAGTGTTTACGATTCTAAGTGCCTTAGAAGTTATGAGTCATTTATCAACCCTATAAGGTGGGTTATTATGAATATTATTACTATTTTATAACTGAGGACATTAAAGCACAGAGGGGTTAAATAACTTGCCCAGGATGCACAGAGACAATTTTCAAACCCAGGCAACCTGGCTCCATGATCCTTGCTCTTAACTATCATACTGTGCTAAGTTTTCATCTGTCTTGCAAGACCCTAGTGCTTCAGCCGAGAGCCCAGTGGTGGGATGAGAGAGGGCAACTCCCTCTTTACTCCTTTGTCCCCACTGCTGTTTCTCCTTTGTCTCCTGATCCTGCCCTGGTTGTGAGCCACAGATCTGGTTCCTTTGCTGGGTTGACACTTTTGCATCTTTTCTGTCCTCATGGATGCCTGGCTTTAGACAGCCCCCAGGGAACTCGAAGGGGTGGAGGTGGTGGGGCACTGTTTGCTGAGGATTGATAGAATCGATACCTCTGTGTTCTTTGTGACTGAAGGCAGCAGCAAGCCTTCTGTGTGTGTGTGTGTGTGTGTGTGTGTGTGTTTGAGCTTTCGTGCATAAGCTAGGGTGTTGTTGAAGGTGGGGAGTACTGGCTCTGGAGAGCCATTTCCTGCCTAACCAGGCATTGTCTTCTTGCTGAGATCCCTTTTATGCCTTTTGGATGCTGGGCATTGAGGTGAAGTTATGTACCTAAATGTCAAGCCCTAAGTCTCTGGATGAGACAGGAGGAACAGCCTCGGGTCACATAAACACACACATTTCTCATCTCCTACTCCCTTTAGTTTGTGTCTACACATGGACTGACTGCACCCTCTAGTTGTGTTCCAGAGGGTGTCCGTACCCTCAGATGACAGTCACTGGTTAAGGAAATTGTGCCTGCTGAGACTGGAAGCAAACCTGAATGAGAGCAGTCCATGGAGAAGGTGACAAGGAGGAGACTGCTGTTCTTGTTTACAATGTTCTGGGCAGTGTTGAGCTCTTGAAGATGAGAAGGGCCCAATGTGGAGCCCTGTGGCTCAGTGGAAACTATACCTCTGGGGCAGGATTCAGGCTGATCCCCAGACTTATGGCACTGATATGGCCCAGCTAGGCCCTCTGCCTAGTCTAGGGGTCTGGTCCCTCCTGAGAGCCTCACCAGGTCTCCCACTCTTCCAGCATTTGTCCTCTTTGTCTTGGTCATCTGAACAGCTCCATTTCAGAAGCTGCTGTAACTGTGAATGGTGTGTACGTACGTGTGCATATGGAAACTTTCCTGTGTGTGATGTCGGAGGTCATCTGGTTGGGCTTCCCAAGCTCTGAGTTGGCCTTCCGAGGAATTTCAGAGGGTGTTATCTTCTTTGGGTCTAGCCTGTTCTGGCTCACAGCACTAGTCCACAGCCCTTGAGCCTTGCACTATACCACGGTACAGTGGGCCCAGGATAGATACTGGTGCCTCACTCACCACTTCACGTCTTCATGAGAAAATGATGTGATAGGAAGAGGGATTGGGTTGTGGAATCCAAGCACATATGAAAAGCAAATTTTAATGACCACACCTTATTTGATTTTGTCCTCCCAAATACCGTCTCTGCCAGGAGGTGGCATCTTTTGTTTATAGGTGAGCAAACAAACAAAAAACCCAAGCCTCAGAGAGGTGGAGACTTCTGGCTAGATGGCATTGAATTCTAAGACCATGTGGTTTCCAGAAGAGGTGGGTAGAGCAGACTTTGGTGGCTGATTTGGGTTTCAGTGGGGTAGGTCCATGAAGGGTGTTGCAGGAGGAAGCAAATATAGGAGGCAGGGATGGAGGAGGAAAGCTCTGTGCCTTCCTTTTAGAAAGAAGCAGGACTCTGCATAACTGCTGGAAGGCTCTTAATTAAATGTGTAACAAAATAAAAACAGCCAGAGAGGAAAGCTAAGTAGTGCGGCGTGACAGTGCACAGCTTATCGGTGTTCCTGGAACCTCTCGTCAGAGGCACGTCAGATGGCTCTCATCAGAGCCGTCTCCTCTTTATGCACCTGGTAAAGGCTGCCGATGAGCCTGACAAGGGTGTTGTTAAATTGACACGCACAACTTGTTAGTGTGTGGCTTACTTCTTATTTTGACATCCATTTCCAGATTTAACTAAGTCTAAAGAATAAAGAAAATATTTTCATTTCCCTCTCTAGTTTCCAGAAGTCATGGCTCCCTTCTTACTGTTCTGCCCCCCCCCATCCCCCAAGCCAGCTTCACATCACTTTGGCTGGGAACGGCGTGATTAGTGAGGCACTGAGAAACAGGAACTGAAGTGGCAGCAGAAATCCCACTGGAGAAATCTGCTCCTATCCTGACAAAATCATTTTGTATCCATCTTTTGTCAAAGCCACATGACTTGATGCTCCAGTTTTACAGAGCTTTGATGCTAAAGAGAGACCTTGATGATGGTGTGTTTTAATTTAGTGAGTATGGATTTAATTTTCTGTCAACTTTTTCAAGATGCAACACTTGTTAGGAGTTTGGTCTTTGATCAGCTTACCTTCCCTCACCTTTCCTGGTGATTCTGGAAGCTCCCCCTGGTGTTTAGTTTTGTGTCTCTGCTAACCTTAGTAGGAGATGGGTCTTTAAACAGTTCCCATCTTTGGCATGGTGAGAGGGTAGGGCTGATGCAGAGTGAGACCTGCACAGGTGCTGCTTGAGCAGCGTAGATTTTAGCCTGTGGCTTGAAGATCCGGGTTTGCCAGCTGATTAGCAGCCTGTGTGAGAAGCTAGACCAGAGGCTTTCCTGGGGGGCTATGGATCTGAGCAAGGGTGCAGACCAGCAAAAGGGCAAGAGTGGAAGAAAGGGCTGGCCCTGGCGCGGTTCAGGAGGAGACCCCTGTGGGCAGGGGTTTGTGAGGATAATGAGGTGGAGGAGGGCTGGGGCCTGCTCAGGTTTGTTGAGAGGACCTTCATCTAAGGTCAGCCTCAGCTTTGGCATGGGAAATTGCCCCTTTACTAGAGGCTCAGTGTGTAAATGTTGGACTGGTGTTAGGCTTCAGTTTTTTCCCTGCCTTTTTAGTGGGGTGTGTATACCACACCTCTCTGCCTGTGCTGTGCAAGGGCGTACCTCAGGTTTTAGATACTGTGGAGGTGGGGGCAGGTATTTGGCTCATTGGTTAAGTCGCCACTTGGGACAACCTCATCCCATTCATAGTACCTGGTTCAAGTCCTACCTTCTTTGCTTCTGTTCCAGTTTCCTACTAATGTACATCCTGGGAGGCAGCAGCTGATGGTTCAAGTACTTGGATCCCTGCCAGATAAACTCTGAGCTCCTGATTTTGGCCTGACCCAACCCTGGTGTTGCAGGCATTTGGGGAGTGAGCCAGTGAGTGGAAGATCTCTCTCTAGCCTTTCAAATAAAAAGGAACATAAGGAAATACAGTTTTTAGAAATAGTTTCACTGAAAAGAGTAAAAAAAATCAAATGTAGAGCCAGAAAGTTATCTGCATTGTCACTGTTGATGTCAGTAGTTCTTGCTGAGGTTTACCTCAGTGCTGCAACCAAGGGATCAGAAATATTGGAGAGAAAAGCTGTTATTAGCTTGGGTGAGGTGTCACAGTGGTTGACCCACACACCCAGCAGGGCACTAGGGGGTTGTGATCATCCTGTAGGGTGTGGCGGGTGGGCAAGTGACACACTTGCAGAAGGGATGGGCCCTCTTGGCATTATTCAGCAAAACTGACTGCTTCATCCTTCTTCAGACACTTTTCATCTTTTCTTTGTCTCCTGTTTCTCTGATTCTTCCTTCTCGGTTGTTTCCACATATACTTCTCTCCTTACTTTATTCTTAAGTGTTGATGTTTCTTAAATATTGATGTTCCTTTGATCTCTGTCATTTTTTTTTTTTATTCTACACACTTGCACTTACCAGAGTGAGCTTAGCTGTGTTGCAGCTTCTACCCTCTGCATGCTGATGTGTTCAAACCTTTTTCTCTGACAAGTGGGAACTGATATGGCAGCAGAGATCTCAATGGAGAAAAAATTACCTGCACCATTTTCCCCTGAGTGCCACACCAGCTACCTATCCCATCCCTTCACCTACATGATCACAGGCTCAGGTCTTTTTTTTTTTTTTGACAGGTAGAGTTAGAGACAGAGAGAGACAGAGAGAAAGGTCGTCCTTCCGTTGGTTCACTCCCCTAACGGCCGTTAGGGCCAGAGCTACACCTGTCCGAAGCCAGGAGCTGGGTGCTTCCTCCTGGTCTCCCATGCAGATGCAGGGATCCAAGAACTTGAGCCATCCTCTGCTGCCCTCTCGGGCCACAGCAGAGAGCTGGACTGGAAGAGGAGCAACCAGGACTAGTAACCGGCGCCTCAACCGGGACTAGAATCTGAGGGGGCGGCACCGCAGGTGGAGGATTAGCTAAGTGAGCCACGGCGCCGGCCCTCAGGCTCAGGTCTTAACTGTCTCTCTACAGCCTGTCCTCCAGCATCTCATTAGTGACTGGTCCCCTCCACTCAGTTCTGTCAGAAACTGGAGAGCCATCCTTTCTGTAGCCACAACCAATTAATTTTCAGATTCTGTTGACTGTGCCTCTTGGAGGTTTTTCTCAAGCTCATTCGCTTCTTTCCATGCCCATTGCCATTGCCCGGGCTTAGGTTATCATGTTCTTGGATTGCCACAAAAGCTTTCTAATTGTCTCTTTG